TCTCAACTAAAGGAAAAGAAATACAGATATTTAGAGAGCCTGTTAATGAGAACCAGAGAAATCTGATCGTTTCTCTGGAGAAACATCGGAGTGAGAAACTTCCTGGGCCAGGACCTGAATCTCTTTTACCCGCTTCTTGGCAAAGGCAAATCAATAAGCTGAATACCAGGGCAGGAGTTAAAGGCATGATGCCGGCCAGCAGGACTCTCCACAGCTGCTGAAAACCGTCCCCTCTGCTCCCCCACGGCACCCACCCTTGGGCAGGGAGCTGGAGCCAGGAACAGGATGTACAAAATGCAGGGCAGATAAAAACATACAAGCAGCCTCGCAATGGGACTTTGTTGCTGTAGTTAGCTCCTCGCAAAATGACTGGGAGATGAGGCAAAGCTGGCCCTGGCGGGGGGAGAGGAGAGGTCTGGGGAAGCTATGATATCATGCAGCTTAAAATATTGAGTTCACATCTGGTCAACCCATTATAGAAAATATATGGTAGCACTTAAAAAGGTGCAGGGAGGGGTCAGAGGGCAAAGCCCATCACTAAGTAATATCGGGAATAAGAGACAAGAGAAAAAAAAAAATGGAAGAGGGGGGCAGAGAGAGAGAGAAGAAAGAAAGAGAGAGAGAGAAAGAAAAGTTTTATATTGACTGTGAGGAAAAGAAGTTAATGGGGAATTTAATTAGAGCTAATACAGATGGTAGAACACTGCGTTGTCTGTCCTCCATCCATCCTCCCAGGGCGAGGTGTGAGCAAGCAGTACCCCAGTGGCAGCTGCCCCTGTGCAGGACGTGCCCCAGTAACTGTGAACGGGGCCCCTGGCCCCAGCTCACTGCCGAGGAGAGGAGAGGAGAGGAGAGGAGAGGAGAGGAGAGGAGAGGAGAGGAGAGGAGAGGAGAGGAGAGGAGAGGAGAGGAGAGGAGAGGAGAGGAGAGGAGAGGAGAGGAGAGGAGAGGAGAGGAGAGGAGAGGAGAGGAGAGGAGAGGAGAGGAGAGGAGAGTTTAACAATCTCACACAAAGAAGCCTGAATTTTTACATTGGGAAAATAGAAAATAGGTGTTTTTTTTTTTTCTTCCTCTTTTTTTTTTTTTTTTTAATTATTATTTTTCTTCTCCTTTGCTACATTTTAAGGCGTGCTAGACGTAACAACCTTGCACTTTTCAGACCAGTTGCCTTTGGACCATTCCTGGAAAGGAAAACTAATTCAAAATGGCTTGTGCATCTCAGGTGGTGTAAAGTTATACTGGAGACTACTGCGCTCAAAGCAAAGGCTCAATACAGCTTTCTCATAAACCTGCTTTAAAACAACACATACTAATTTTTCAGTAGTGTGTGCCCTTCTGCTGACTACATAGAAAATAAAATACAGAAGTGCAACAGAATACAGAAGGGCTAAGCTACAGATTTATGAAACTGTTGCATTTTAAACCTCAGTGGAGAGTTATGTTTTCTTCTATTGTCTTAGAAAATATGTTTTCCTCTAATTGGTCAAAGTGGGATTAGTATCTGTGAAAGCCATGCACTTTACACGGCCTTCTGGGAGCTTACCAAATGCAGCTATTTTGATACACATCACTGCTTGAGCTGCAGCTTGGGCAGCTTCTGTGTTTTACAGACAGGGAGCAGGAAGAAATATGAACACAGAAAGCTTCTGGACAGTGGAGTCTGCTCCTCTTGCTGCCTCCCGTGCCACTGTAAGGACTGTGGGCCATCAGCCTTCCCCATGGTCATTCTCCACCTCTTTGTGGCTGCTTACCTGAGTGGAGAAGATGTTGATCCTAGGACCAGAAGATAATTCAGGTGTGGAGGGACGCCAAGCAGGGTTAGCTATGGGATCATGGCCCCTTCGGGACCATGGTGGGGGGCTCTCAGGAAGCCCAGCCTGTAAGCACAGCCAGGCACGGAGCAGCTGGCTCACCAAGGGCTTTGGTGCACACGTGGCCACAGGCCATGGGCTGCCAGCTAGGCAGCCTGTTTTATGCCAAGATTTTTATATTACCATCCCTCCTCCCCGGCAGATTGTGCCCATTGATCCTCCAGCTTCCTGCTATTCTGTTAGTTGGGAGACTCTCCATCTCCTTTTGGATGAGGCTTTTTAATGCTATCTCCAAGCTCCTTAGCTCCCTAATATTGGTGACCATGCTATGTTTTAGTAATTTTTGAGTCTTGTCTGTTCTGTTGACGTCGAGATGGAAGCACCTGGGGGTGCTTCCCACTTCCACTGTGGTCCACATCCCACCCAGCACATCCTAATGGCAAATGAAGAGAGACATTATAACCTCTCCTCCCCCAAACCACATGCTTTTGTTTCCAAGAAAATCCAGGTGTTTGGCCTGGGCAAGAGCCTACAGCAATTCCTCAGCCTTGGCTTTCCACAGATGAGGCTACACGTGAGGATGGCCCCGAGCACTGACTGATACATCCCAGCTAGAAGAGGTGGTGGCTCAACTTGCATCAGCTAATGCGGTTTTACAGAGGAGCCCACACTAGCAGGGACCTGCAGAAGCTGAGCAGCACCTTTTAAAAATGTGTGAATTAAAACCCTTAGCCACACCTACTTGAATGCAAAGTCTCCTTTTTCCCAGGCTGTGAACTGCCTTTGCTCCTGAGCTTCTCTTGGTCAGCAGGAGATGACGCTGGTGAGTTGCTCTTGCAATGTGCTGACTGCTTGTGTCAACCTAAAGATCAGGAGCTCTGAAAGGGCTTGCTTAGAAACCTGGCTGTGTGAGGCAATTCCTTCTCCCCCTCATCTAATGACATGAAAATCACTTTTCAAACTGCCCGAGCACCTTCAGCTTGGGCATGTTTCAAGCAGTAAAGCTCTTACTTGGTCCACGGCAATAAGCGTTATTGCTCCAGTTATTGAGCCCAAAGCAGGGACAGGTGGAACAAATTGATCTGGATTAAGAAAAGAGTTTTAGGCAGAGTTGGGAACAGAAATTATGGCATCTGGTTCCTCATCCGAGTCTCATACAAAACTCCTGGGTGTCCTTCCATCAGGAGGCTTCATCCACACAGGTCTTATTTTACAGAGATTACCGAGAGAGTCTGACATCGGTAAAAAATCCCGGGTGTCCACTCACAAATTTAGGAGTCATTTATATCCATAGTAATAAAAGCCGTATGCTGTTTATTTAGCAGGGCTGTTTTAATGTGCTGTTGGTTGTTTGGATAGGCTGTATCTTCTTCATATTGTAATCATATTAAAAGAGCATTCTTTTCCTGGAATAAAGAGGTAATGATTCACAAGAGGCATAATTATTCCATGCGGTGCAGGCAGGATGCTACAGAAAGAGCTGTCTTCTTTATGCATAAGAGGCTTTTATTGCAAGTGTTCTACACAGTAATTAAATTCCTTTGAATGAGAAGGCTTGATTGGATTTTCTTTGGTTTACTGGGCGGAGTCTGAAAAGCAAGGTATTTAGCTCAATTGCTATACAATTTTGGCATCTGTCAGAGGCGAGGGAGAAAGGTTCACAGTGTCTGATTCCCATCTCTCTCATGCTTGTGCTATGTTAGCTGAACGCCGCTGAATTCAACTGAATTACACCCTGCTTGTGTTTGTGAGAGAATCAAGCTCAGAAACCCCTAGCAGAAAACATTAGGATACTAGAACTTGCTCAGTAAGAATCCAAATTTTTTAAGGGGAAAAGAAACACTAGAAAAGGAAAGCTATTTGTAGTTGCAAAGGCAAGTGCCCCAACGTGAAGAAAATTTACATTTACAGCTCTTCTTCAGACCTGATGGCTGTCTTATAGTGAGTCCAGCCTTGGCCTAGAATGGGCCAAAGTTTTAAGAGGGAGCAGCAAGTGAATGCGAAGTCAGGAAACCCTGTAACAGAAGCTTGACGCACAAGCCAGGATGCTGGCATGGTGCAACTTTTGTGTATTTGAGTTGTCAGACTAAATCATGTTTGTTTAACATCAACGACTGCGTGCAGCCACCAAGGATTTATTTTTTTTTTTCATAGGAAAACAGTAAAAGTGTAATTTAAAAGGAAAACTCTGTTATATACAGCCTCAACATGTATTAGCAAGGGGGTTTGGGTCTTGCGGCATGAATTACAGCATGAATTCTTCCTGCTACTCAGTAAGGCTACACGATGCCTCAGGAGGAGGGTGCTAGCTTGGGCAGGGAAGATGTGCCACACCACAGGGGTAGTTTCACCCTGCTCAGGTGTCTCTAGAGAGACAGTATGCACAATCAGGAGTCCCTCAGACCCCTAGCCAAGGGGGATATAGGTCTGTAAAATAGGTCTGTTTGTGAAAAATGTTATACCTACCCCACCTACGCAGTGCATAAAGTGCAATGCAGAGGTGAAGGAGCAGAGAAAAGGTCTGTGATCATCGGTGATGCCAGCACCCATCTGAGAAACTGGCTCACGCACCTCTGCTTGCAAGCAGACACTTGGGAGTGCTCGTAGCCATCAAGCCTCTTCTCCTGGCAGAGCATTGGGCCTGATGGATGTCTTCAGCCGAGAATATTTTCTGATGAATTTTCATAATTGCAGGCAGAACACTTTGGTTTATTACTGTCACTCCTTCCTAATTGCCTGCCAGGCGTTATTAACCTGCAAGCTGCCCCCGTCCTGTGGTCCTGCTCTTCTTTCTTCCTTTCAAATTGCATGTTTTTGAAACAAAGAGGAGGAGAACAATAGCTGCACAGCCTTCCAGCCTTGGTGGTGTTCAGGGAGCACCTTGAAGGAAGGGAGAGCTGCCTCTGCCTTCCCACCAGGCAGTGGTGGGAGAATATCACGTTAAACTGATGACACAGACGAGTCACAGGAAGCCAAAATTTCTCTGTTGTGACTCTACTGACCTCGGAGTGGTTGTGCTTCCTTTTATTGTTTACTGATACTCAACAAGGATGCCTTCTGGACCTCTGTCTGTCCCTCCTGTCCAGCTGTCTGTACAGAAAGTTGGACATGGAGCCCGTTTTAGTTCATGGAGCCCGTTTTAGTTCCGTTTTACTGATATTTCTTTCTCTTTCTTGGCTTGCTGAGCAGAAACGGTCGTACCTGAGGATTACCTGGTCGATCCTGTGCACATGAAGCGGTACAGCGTGGATCCTGCCGACCCTGCCTTCAGCTGCGTGGGCTCCATGTACGCCACGCGGCAGAGTCCTGCGGATGGACGTGCAGCTGGAGGCTCCTCTTCCTCCTGCAGCCACCGTCCCACCCAGACGTCTTCAGGGGGTTCCTCCTCCACTGGCCTGCGGCATCAGACCTCCAGCCCCACAAGGAACGGGACCTACCCTGAAGGAAACAGAAGTGGTAATTTAATATCTTCCTATGAGCAGTGTGTGTTACTGTGCTGGTGCCACGCTGGAGTCTTAGCTCATTCCCAAATTCCCGGGAAAATGAATGAGGGGTGCCTGGATTGACATCCACGCAGACAATGCTTGCTTTCACTGAGAAGAAGTAATAACCTATGTAAACACAAAATCAATCTGTTCATCATTAAGTGAAATGGTGAATGTTTTCTAATGCTGTTATTAATTATGTAAACATATGTATTATGTATAATCGAGTGGCAATCAAAACTGCCATTATCAACTTACAGATATAAATATTAATACACAAGGCATTCCTCCCCAGGACTGATACAGCCTGCAGACAGGTTCCTGCTAACGGCATGACACCAGCTGTGTACAAGGTATGGTGCAGAACAAACCCAAATGTTGGTGCCTACCTCGAACAATTGAGCAAAAGATTTTGCTTCCTAGCTGCAAACCATGCTCCTTAAATTATGAACTAGACCAGACTGGAAAAAAGACTGCCCAGCAAAACATATTTTTAGAAATCATCCAGCTTACTGCTCAAGGCTTTTTATCCTATAGGGAAGCAAAGTCGCAAGAAGTTTATCTGCAGATTCAAGGGATGCCATGGGAGCCACTGCTTTCAATAACCCTTCCTCTGCCCTCTCTTTGTATTTTTGCCCAGTTCTCCTGATCGGATTTAGGTTTGTTGGGTCGTTCACTCTGCTCTTCAAGGGCACTCTGCTGGTGCAAAGCCCTCTTCAAATGGGGCTCGGTGACAAGAGTAGGCTTCCTTCCAGGAAAACTCCTTTGACAGATGAAGTGAGGGAAGCAAGTGGGGCTAGAAGGGCAACCTGGTGTCAGGCAGAGCAGCTGAGAGGACAGGGTGCACACAGACAGGCAGCCAGAAGCTCACGATATCACGAGAAAATTGGCCGTGGCAGTGGCAAGTGCGGTTTCTAAACCTGGGTTGCATGTGCTCTTCTCCAGCTTATTGCTACATTCCCTGTTAGCAATGATTTTTTTTCACCCCCACAAATGACCTGGGTTCATCAAACAGGTTAGGTAATTATCTGAACTTCTGCTAACTTTGTCTTTTTTTTGCATTTTCTAATTTCTCAATTAAAAGGTCCTTATCAGTAGTGATGTGAATAGTGTCTTCACCCCTTACTAATTATTCAAACTTCATTTATGCATTTTTCATCTTGAAGATAGATCTAACAATGGAGTTGAGTGTCTCAGCCATTTTTAAGTCATTAATTTTTTCCCTTCCTCATTTATTAATGGAATCTACTGTCACTCTGGGTGGTTCTTTTTTGTTTTTGCTTTTTTTTTTTTTTTTTTTTCCTCTTGCAGAAGCCTCGCTGGTTCCCCCTAATCCTTTTGTCTAGCATTAACTCCTTACACTGTCTTTCTGCCCTTGCATTTCAACTGGAAACTGCAGGTGATTATGCAAGAAGCCAAGATTTAACAATGATTTGCACATTTTCAGCATCCTAAAAAATACTGTGGTAAAGTTCCTGTGCTTTTAAAAATATGCTGTGTGGAGATGCCTTGTTATCATGGGTTTGAATCTATGTTCAAGAGACTGAAGTTTAAAAACAGGGCTCCCTAAGCTTGCTCATCTGCATTACTTCTCCTTCTTGTTTCTGACTGTGAATATCACTTTTTCCCAGACTCATCAGAGCCCTGAGAGGAAAGCTAAGCTTCAGGAGGCAGCTCTATCTCTCTTACTGTGACTTCCATCAAAATTTGCAGTCTTTGCAAAATGAAAGCCTAAAAGATGGCAGGTTATTTTTCCAGAACCGAACCAACAGGCAAGTCATAGAGGGCCCATGCTATAGGCCTTGCAGGTTCTTATATTTCCCTAGTTTGAAACATATTACAGAGCTTTGAGGAGCAAAGATGAAAACATTGCTTTTAGACCAGACACTTGTGAGGTCTAGGCATCTTCGAAGCAGCTACAAGTGAATTCAAGCTGCAAGATATGACATTTTGGGATAAAAGGACTTATCCCAAAACTGTTTTGTTTAGTCTGTTTGATTGTTTGCCTGTTTTTGTTTTGTTTTGTTTTGTTTTGTTTTCATAGGGCATATTTTTAACACTAGCTCATCCAGGACCTCTGGGATATTTGGCCAGCTCAACAGCAATGGCTCCTTAAAGCAGACAGATATACAGTGAAGACCACCCAAAAAATGTTATTAATATCTTTTATAATTATCAACAATTTCTTAGACCTGGTATCATCCATTGTACATTAGGGTCTGCACATACAGGTCCCTGCAAACCCATACAGAGATGGGGTTGCTCTCAAGGTCTCCAACAGGAGGAAGGGCAATCGCCAGGCGCTCTGTGCACCTCTGTCTGTCTGTCAGCACCAACGGCCCATGCATGTTTGTCCCACCACCATCCCGTTGCCTCTGAACTTCTCAGCTGCTTTCTGGAGACTCCAGCAGAGGCAGGAGCTGGCTCCTCTGAAGCAGAGGAGAGCAGCTTGTTCTTGGCTAAGGCTGGGCAGTTTTCAGTGGCTGTGATTTTTTTAAATATATATATTCCTAAGGCTACCTTGGTGCAGCTACACTGGAGTTTGAGTACCGTCTTGGCAAAATCTCTCTTGCAAAGGTCTTAGGAATCTGCACTCTCACTATGATGCTTCTTCATGTTTTTTTCCTCTTTCTAGGGACACTTTATATGCTGCTGAATCATAAGCTGAACAAAGATGAGTAATTGGTGCATGCCAGTATCTCTTCTAATCCTCCTCAGTTTGCATACTCGCAAGGAAGGGATAGGCAGCACTCATTAAAAAAAGGAAGGATTTCTCTCCAAAACCTCAAGCCAATCCTCTTTATTTAACGAATATTTTTGAAAAATAGCACGCGTTATTTATCAGGGTGTGCAAATATCATGGAAAAAATCATAGCCATAAAACATAGCTCAGTGCAGAGCAGAAAATGTTTTTCAAGGGGAAAGGATGAGATTAAACCTCAAAGCTCTCATTAATGCGATCGGAAGCACGATGCCTAATTCTCTCTGATTATGCTAAAAAATTCCAAACCAAAAAAAAAAAAAAGTCATTTCAGAAAGCCAGTTGGGGCTGCTAACAGATAAACATGCACTTTTCTGTCATCATTTGCCAAATGGAAGCTCTTAAATCAGGGAAGGAATAGTCAAGGACATCATAAACCTTAAACCTTTCCAAGCTTGCTTATGTACCAGACAAACAAACCCTTTATTCCAAGCGTGAAGAATTCTGTGTTCAGACACAACATAATAACCTTAACCTTGCCCTGTAGCTTGCTGGCTTTATGCAGATTTTATTATCCAATATTAGCAGTTAATTATTAGCACCTGAGGGCCTTCGTTAAAGAGGCAATCCTTGCTTGCTTAATACATTCATTTCCTGAAAACATTTGGGGGTGCAGGGGCTGAAGTTTCTCTTTTTTCCAGAGCAATGCTGCAAGCACCTGGGGTGGGGAGGTGGATCCAGCATCTCCCCCAGGCTGTGGCAAGGGAAGCCTGGTCCCACTGCTTTGGCAAGTGCTGCCTGCCTGCTGGTTTTTGAGGACATTTACAACGTGAAAGGTTTGATGTGTTCAGTGATCTGCAGTGCTTTTATTCCTCCACCCACCTTTTTTTCCAGCCCTCCTCCTTCCAACCATCTTCTCCAGCATGGTGCGCCCTGGCCTTGTAGGAAGCCTCTCCTGCAAAACCTTCCTCCTGCCCTTGTTTGCAGTGGGAGGATTTATTTTTAAAAAAGTATTTCTTATTTCTCCATGCCTTTGAGGGCCTGCTACTTTGGCTTACTTTCAGTGGATCTGCTGCTCCTTATTATCTGCTCCAGTGCGATCAGAGAGAACCTTTTAAAATTTCATTCCCACCCCCTTCCCCTGAGGCAAAGAAATCATTTAGGCCTGCAGCAATATTAAAGTTCATCTGTCACTCCCTTTCCACTCTTATCTATCAATGGCCGCACTCCCTCTGGGCTCTGTTTGTTTGCCAAGAACATATTTAGGGAGTCTGTTATTTATCTTTCCTTCTTTCACAGGTTTAACTCCATTTTAGTGTCGTATTTTCTCAGTATGGCTCTGCAGCCACTCGGCTCTTGGCTCTCTCTCTCTCCATCCTCCTTCTGAGGAAGGTCTGGAAACAGAAATGGGGCAAGAGCTCAGCCGCTGGCTCTGTTGCACCATCATCTCACCATCAGCTTTGCTGGGCACTGGGTGCTGGCCTGGGATTTCCAGCCATCCCTGGCAATAGTCTCAGCTGGGATACCCTGAGAGCCTTCCCCAGAGGGGAGCCCCATCCCCATCTTCCCCTGGCACTGCTGCAGGCAGGAGGGGAAGCGTTTCCCTTTGATTACCTGGATTTCCATATCCCGTTCCATTAATTTGACAAATTTTTTGCCACCTGTCAAAAACAGGAAATTGGATTTGACCTAGATTACAATCTCTAAAAATAATTATTGGTCCCGAGCACTCCCATCTCTTTGTAATCTGAGTATTCATTATCATCTTGATTAATTCTGATGACAGAATGGCATAGGATACCCGGGAGACATGAGACTTCCTCATTTATCTAATTCTTAGGTTAAGTGTGAATACCTTCTGATAAGAAAAAAATGTATAGTACTTGCCCTGCCGCCATCAAACACTTTTGTGCTTAATATAATCTTTTACCGAGGTGATGCTGTTGAAACATAAAACCTCTGCCTTTATGTAGGCATGAAATGATTTATTTTCTTCTGGAAATAAAGAAATTGCACTAATGTGTAAATGAATGTGTAAAATTAATGCGTAAAAGCCAGAGTGAATTTAAAAAATACACTTTAAAATATATGCAAAAAGAGATTGCTTCCAGCCTCATCATCTGAAAACTGAATTCGAGAAATTTGTCTGCAAACTGCCAGTATCCCAGTTTCGCTAACAGCATTTAAAGGTAGTCGCTTACACACCAGGAAAATAACACATCTTAATTCATGAAAAAGCAGCAGGGAATAGAGGACTTGGCTCCAGGTAGGTAAATACAGATTTAAAATAAAGAAGAGTTATGGCTATGCTTAATTCTCGTGTTTATATTGACGTATTATATCTCAGGAAGGGATTTGAAAGGGTTATCTTCACTTGCTGGAGGCTGGCAGAGTTCTGGCCATGCAGTCTCTTTAGAAAGGTCATTTATATATTTGTCTTTAAAAAATCGGATTTATGCTATCGATTGCTAGACTGCAGAGGAGTGCGCAGAGTTCCCCTGTCATTTCGACCTTTCCTCCTCACCCCCTTTCTTTTATTACCAATATTTCTCAGAAAGGCCCCCAGCTGCTCCCAGGGGCTCGCTGCCCTCCTTTGCCCTTCCCTGGCATCTCTGCAAGCATTTTGGGCAGCAGTCGCTGGGCCAGGGCCTGCTCTGTTCACGCACCTGGCGTGAACCCCACACTAAGTCCTCTGGTTTCCTTGTATTCGTATGAATTTAAGGGGAAAAATGTGCTCCTCGGCAGTGGCCCATCTCCCCAGACCACGCTATGGCTGTGGTGTGGAAACATCTGCAGTCCTTTGGGCACAGCCAAGCCTTTCCCCTCTCTCTTTTTCCACTGGTTCACAAAATCCTGGTTTTCTCCCTTGGTTTGAGGTGCCCAGGGGCAACATCTCTCCTCACCAGCTGCCACCAGACCCGCAGCAGATCGTGCCACGAGCAAGTTAAGCTACCGGAGTCCCTTTCCAGGTACTTGCTCCTCTGCCTCCAAGGCAATTCTCGCTTCTCCCGCTCGCCCCTGACAAACTTGCTCGATGTTACTGACGATCCAGGGGCTGGCCGAGATCGCCCCATTCGTTTCCTACTCTTTGTCTTCATCGCTTCGTGCCAAAGAGTCCAGATGGTGCCTGTGCCACTGTGTATTGCATTTGTTCTGTGAGAGGAGCCCAGGGTCGCGTGAGTCCGTACGAACACCAGCCCTCGCTGCCTAATTACGAGGACCCGCGGCTATGCCTTGTCCTTTATCTCCAGCACAGTGACTTAGCAAATGAGAGCGTAATTATCATGATATTTACATCCCATCCCATTACGAAGCCCATTGACCAGATTTACACATTCATAGCACTGCTGCTTACTGGAGTTCATCTTTCCTAACTGCGAAATGCACCCCATTACATTATACTGGGGGACGGGGATGGGGCGAGAAAGAAAAGGGCCAATATGCACATAAAGCTGTTATTGTGCGTATATGGGCAGACCCTCCGCTCACATAAATCAGCACAGCTCTATTGAAGTCATCAATGTGATTTACATGAGCCACAAACCCAGCCCACTGCATTTGGTCTTATTACAATGGTGTTTGGAGCCACACGTGGTGTGTTCATACCTTTTATCTGTCTTTATAAGCTCAGGGTTTCTCTGGAGGGCTCAGTCCTTCTCTCCTCAGCAGCTCTGAGCCATTCTGATTCCTCTCTTGGCTACCTGGGGCCTCTCCAGGGTACAGTTTGGGTACCTGTGGTCTGCCTCTCTTTGCACTCTGCTTCCTTTCTGCCTTCTGTAGTGTCTGTTTGCTTATCATTTGCAACAGTTATTGAAAATTGGGCCTTAACAGAAAGAGATGAGCAGGTCTGGGCAAGTAACACCTTATACATTTATCTGCTGTCACCTGCTAATGTAAAGTTTGCTTTGTGTGGACGCAAACAAAAGCAAACAGCTTTCCTGTAGCCTAGCATAATGTAGTTCTTCGTGAAGCAACGTAAGGGTGTGTGTGGACGGATTATATACACATGCAGGCTAAGATTTATGGTTCTGCAGAGACTCAGAATAAAAACATAAATGTACTTTCATTCCAATGTGCCTTTTTTCACTTGATTTAGAGCTACAACAAGCCAAAGTGACCTTAAATCATCCAGGGCTTGTACCATTAAAGGATCACACGTGCAGTGTTCATCTTTGCATGTTTTAGTAGCCCTCCAGATCAACCTTCACCGGGGACCCTCAGCTTTGTGTGAGACTAAGATTAGCAGGGTATTGATTAGGAACCCTCCTCTAAGCTCCAAGATAAGTCTGAAGATCTGTATGCAAAGAAAAAACCTATCTGCTGAAGTCTGTTTTTATCCTCTGGCCTTTACATTCAATGGCAAGCTCCTTTGTTTCGTGCCGAAGCGCTTTCTCTCCAGGTGGGAGGGTGGTGTCTTCCTGAGCCAAAATCCCCACTGCTTGCACATCAGACAGCAGGGGCAGCTCGGTTTAAGAGCCTGGCAGCTGGCACATTTTTCCTTCCCCAGCAGGAACCTGAGGCTTTCATGTTTTTTAACACAATTCACCAGCTGGGATCATGTCTCCCGGTAAGCAGGAAACTGCCAAGCCCCTTTCTCTCCCCACCCCACCATCTCAGGCTGATACACTCAGATATGACATCCAACACATGGGGCTGCCGCACTGCTGCATGCTCACAAACCAAGGAAGCCACTGCATACCACTGCAATGCACTGCTGTTGGCTTTTTTTTTTTTTTTTTTGTACCTACAGCCTCAAGTCCTTCACCAGAACAAGACTCGGCTCGGCCATCAAGCAAGAATCCTTTGACCTGGACTGTGGATGACGTGGTTTGGTTCGTGAAGGATGCAGACCCTCACGCTTTAGGTCCCCACGTGGAGCTCTTCAGAAAACATGTATGTAAAAGGCTGCCCTTGGTGTTTCTGGGGAATTTGAGCCAAATGCACAGGCAGTCCCAAGAGATACAGACATACAGACAGCCTGCTTTTGGCTGCTATAGGACAGTGCCTGTGCTCAGCCAGGTTGACCACAGGGCCCTCCAAGGGGTTCAGAGCTTTGGGGGGATGAGGGGAAGTACTGAAGAAGAGCTCGCTTATCACTCAACAAAAAGATCCTACAAATGTCTTTAGAAAATGCTCGCTATTTGTTCCCAGTATGCCAGCATATATTGTCATTATGCTAAACCTAAGAGAAAGCACAGAGGATCTGGTGTTCATTTTTCATTGTCAGATTGGCACAAAAAAGCCTTGCCTCAATGACAATTTATTCTCAGGATACCTATGATTCTTGTCTGAAGAGCATTTTTTATGCGTCTCTAGATATTTAGCAGTAGAAGCCCGAAAGAGCCAAAGAGCCAAGATACTTTAAAAAAAAAAATAATAAAATTATGTAACTACATAACCAAATTTAACAGAGCTGCTGACTCACTGGAGAATATGATATAGTAAAGAGGACTATAAACATACATCTGATCAGGACTTTCTTGTTCTCCTGCTGCGTAAGGAGTTGGTACCACTGCATCTACCATTTCTAGCCTCCTCCATCACTACCTGACCAAATCAGAACACCAGCCTTGGGCACTGAGACAGGGTGTTGGGATGAGAACAGCAGAGCTTGCACAGCACCGTTTTTGTCCAGTTTCCACTCCTAGCAAAGAATGTCCCTGTGTTTTCACACAGCAGCAGGGCGGTGACACACTCTGGGCGGTCACTGGGCCAGCTGCACCGAAGCATGCCGTGCCACAATACTGCTGCTGCTCTGTGACCGGGGACACCGAGCTAAATTGCCCCTAAAGACTGTCCCTGTCAGCCTTTGTGAGGCACCCAGCACCTACAGGCCCTGCTTATCACTGGTTTCCTTGTAAAATATGCAGCAGGTTTGAGGAGCTGGGTAAGATTACCACACAACTCAATTCAATTACGCCTTTGAGTTATATATGTCCCTGCAATTTTTCAGCCTTCAGATCTCATCTGGATTAGCACGGAGACCTCAGAGGTGAGAGACAAGTGATTAGTCCATTAACCTTAGCCATATTTTCCTCTATGTTCAATCTTTCCATGAAGCAGGTGCATAATTTACTTAGCAGCACTTACTGTCATTGACAAGGCCCAGCCATCACCTGGAAGCGTTGCGTTGGCAGTCAGCTCAGCTCAGCTATGACAGTGGGAAGAAAAGGGTGGTGGGGCCACGAGGAAGGGAAGAGTTGGGGAGGTGTCCTGCATGCCTGCAGATCTCTTTGCTCTTCCTGTATGAAGCCATTTGGGTGTTGACCGCTGTCCCAAGAGCTGGCTCTCCCTGAGGCAGGGAGGTGTAGCCCACATCAGTCACAGCTACAGTGTGCATTGCGGGACAATCATGGCTGTGGCTCTGCTCTTCTCACCACGAACAGGAGCCTTTCCTCTTTCCAAGACAGCTCCTGAAGGGTCCACTAAGACCACAAAACTGCCTACAACCTCCCCTCTATCACACAAAGGAGCCGTAGGCCTGGCAGGGACCTGGTGGCAGCTCTGCGTGAGAGCCCCATGCAGTGCCCTCTCAGCAACAGGCAGGCCGTGGTAGGCAGGCCAGGAGAAGGGAAACAGAGGAGCAGAAAGAGCTATGAATGGAGTTAACAGGTAGAAAATTCAGGCTGGAAGGGCTTGAAGAAATGTTATGGTCTGACAGTTTAATTATGGCCGGTGATTGGCAAACGCATGTACGAAGGAGACAAAAACCTGTGAGTTTAACATAATGAATACCATTTATTTAAAGAGCAACCTGTCTATGCCAGTGCCAGACATCACACTTGTGAGCTTGCATCTTTCCCTAGACTTTCTTCATATCAGTTGTTGGGGCCCTGGCTGCTGAGCTGCCACTTGCTGCACTCCCGTCACAGGTGGTGGCCTTACCAGGGCTGGTGTCTGTTCACCAGACTGTGGAGCACTAAAAAATAAAAAGCTTTTTGTTCCTCTTTGAGATATAGATCCTCATGTTTTTGATTTTACTCATAATTAATTGCTTAAACACTCATGAAGATCTGAATTTGCATCTTTCTCATTCAAAGTCGCACCCTGGGGGATACCCACGGACATCCACAGCCTGGTGCAATTCTTGTTCACATGGCACAGGCCTTGGTTAGGGGCTACCCTGCTTTTTGAGCAGTGTCCTCAGACCAAGTTCTGCAAGAAGCTAGCACAAACACAGCAGTACTCATTCTTGCTTGCGGAAGCTGTATGTTTACTCCCCCTGTATCATGATCTCACAGCTCATACATTTGCTGCTCCCATCCCTTGCAGGAACAGAGTGATATTTTCCTGCAATATCCTAACCTGCAGTGGGCCAGATCTCAACTAATGTGGTACAAACTAAGCACACTGAATTTTACCAGCTCCAGAGCCTATTCAAGACCAGCTCATTGGGGCTACTGCAGATTTGGGGACCATGCTATAGAGTCTTTCAATTTTAAAATTATTTTTTAAAGGGCTGACACAGTAATATTAAAGAGAAGTCGAGCCAACAATCTGCACAGGGACATGGCTAATATGGGATATTTAATTGGATATGAATGCTCCCTCTGGCATACTCTAGTCAAGGAGTTTAATTTTGACCCCTACACAGTAATAATAAAGGAAATAATAAAATGCTGAACTCAACATTTAGAAACAGCTGCAGTCGCACCAAACCCTTGACAGAGATTTTACCTTATGGCATCACAGTTCCAGGAGTTTGTTTTTCTTTCTTAAGCAAATATTAATTATACTGTAATACTTAATCTTCCTTTCCTTAACTTCCTAAAAATAATGGAAAAGAGAGGGGGAGGAAAGAATAATGGAAAAGAGAGAAGGGGGGGTTCCTGTAATGGATGGAGTGGGGGGTGCAGAATGAAGAGCATCAATTGATTGAGTTAATCAGAAAGTGACCTTAACTGCTCATCAGCTAAATCACCTGCTGAATGGAATAATAATGATCAGGGCAAATTAGGATCCATAGTATTGCTTAATTAGTAGGTAATGGATCACAGAGGAAAGACGTTACCATCAAAAACATAGAATACAATATATACAGCACTAGCGTGCTTGTGTATATGTATGCACACACACAGCATTAGTTATGTTTTAGCTGTGATGATCCAAGTAAGACAGTAGAGACTGAGAGGGAAAGTAGTATTTTCAAGCAGATCTGCTAATATAGCTGCGTAAAAAAACATCCAATAATACATCCAATTAAATATGTTACTACTGTCTTCATTTCAAGATATATATATATATCACTGGGTGTAAGAGTACTGGGGATATGTGAAATGTATGGACAGTCAGGGACAGAGCTGGAATTGAGATTCAGGGGTCTGTTAGCAGTTCATGAGGCCACGTCCTTCTGTCTCTCCATCACTCATGCTTTCTCTCAAGGTCAACTGTTTGTTTTTTTTTCAGAGTTGGGTTTAGAGCAACCCTGATTTAAAAATAAAAAAATAAAAATCCTCGTGATTTTATGCCAAGTAATTGAAAACGTAGACAAACCTTAGAGCTCCTTGAAGAACAAACGTAATATTTGATTAAAGCCTCCTTTAGAGCTTCCTTTTATCCTACCTTAGCTTTCAATTTTTTTAATGAAGTTTCAGAATTCCTGACATTTCAGCCAGTTCTGGTCTAAGACATGCTGTTTCTGATTCACCTTGTTTAATGTGTCCGGACGCAGCTCTGCTGTCTCGCTTTCACGGTGCTGGAAGGGAGGTTAACACATTTTAATTCTCTTTCTCTCTTTTGAAACCAGGAGATTGATGGCAATGCTTTGTTGCTGCTGAAAAGTGACATGATCATGAAGTACCTGGGGCTGAAACTGGGACCCGCGCTGAAACTGTGCTACCACATTGATAAGCTCAAGCAAACCAAGTTCTAACAATTTCCTGAACAACAGCAGAACCTGACCTAAATCTAGACAGAAAACTAAAGGTAACGTGCTGCCTTACAGAAATGCATTCTTTTGCAGATTGTTTTCCCTTCTTTTTTAACAAAGACTTTGCCTTTTTTAACATTTGCGCATCTTCACGATTTTTTTAATCTGATGGGAGCTTTCGGGCTGCTTGCGTTAATAATTTGCCAAAAAATTATATACTTATTTTGTACCATTGATATTATTATGATTATAGTAAGTCCTATTTTTGTAATCAGAAGTGGGGAATCAAAAGCAAACACAGCGATGGTGTATGCTGAGGACTGCTGGCAGACACACCGAGGGTCCTGCACCTGCTGCGGGGCCACCGCTGGCTGCCAGCTCCACCACCGGTGCTCAAGGCTTTGGGGAAAGGGCGGCCTTTGGTCCTCTGTCTTCTGATGGGAACGACCCTGTGTCTTGCACTATCATCCGGAAAACTTGAATTCTGCAGCTTGAAAATGAAAAGGAAAAAAAAATAAAGAAAAGTAGGATTAAAAAAAAAAAAAAAAAGAAGAAGAAAAATGAAAAAAAAAATAAAAAGAAAATTTTAAAATTTAAAAAAAAAAAAAAGAAAAAAAGGAAAAAGAAAAAGAAAAAAAAGTGGGATTGAGGGATTTTTTTGCAGCCGAAGTACTTTTTCCCACTAGAGGGAGCAGCCCTAACAGGCTTGGGGCTGGAGCTCAGCTGACACGGTGCTTTCTGTCTGATGAGCTTTGACCATCACAACTCTCCCAGCCAGCACATCTCCAAATACTGACAAGGAATCGCAGGCTCCCAGCAGGATGAGCCGTCGCCGTTTACAGATAATTATTTCAAGAAAAGCCCAAATGCAGAAAGCATTTCTGACAGGATGTTTCCCGTTAAGCCGAAGAGGGGGTGGATGGCTCCCATGGTGTCTGGCGTGCTCAGCTGTCGTCTCCCTTCCTTGCTGGCTGACGTATGGTTTTTGGCACTCTTTTAAGAAAAAGCAGAATTTCTGTTTTTGGTCTCGTTTGTGCTTTTGCAAAGCGAGGGAGCTGGGTGGGAGCGTTCCCCACGAGGAGCTGGCAAGGCACGGCATGGCACATCGCTGTGCTTGTGGGCAGGTCCGGGGCAGATGCTGTAGGGTCGGTGCCTGATTGCATTGCTGCAGAGGGCAATGCACGCTTGCTTTCAGCACGTATGCAGATTTTCCAGGCTTTAAGTCTCAAGTGGATTCAAAGTAATGCCCTCCTGCCTCTTAGTGAAATCTAAAAGGTGCTCGTTGATATCCTGTGCAGCCAGGCTAGGAGAAGGACAGGTCAAAGGCCAAGGAGGCAATTTGGGGGGTGGGTAAGCCCTCATCTTTATCCTCCACAAGTAAAGATTATGAAGGGACACATCCATATGGTTTAAACCCTTGGTGCGTGACAAGCAGTGGTGGCAAATGTTTGTTGGTCATGCAGGTTATTTTAAAGCACACCTCAGCCGAACTGGGGAACGGAGGCCTGATAATATGCAAGATGTTAAACCATCTGAGGCTGTTTATGAATATTACCAAAAATACTCATGGACTACAATTCAATTTGATGCATGTTGCTAGAATACAGCTCATAAAAAGGTACCAGTGCAGGACCGAATTATGAAAATCCTTGCAGCCTGCACGTGTTTGCAGGATGGGAATTGGAAATCGGACCAGTTTTCAGCAAATCTTGTCTCCATGTCAAAACAACTCCCAGATGAGCAGCTCAACAAGTGTGCTAAATGAAAAGTCATGTATTACCCGGTGACGCCATACACTGAACCCTAAACGTGCTGATTCTTAGGACCCCCACCTGCATCTCTTTGTGTCCATGTGGCACGAAATGGACATCTGTTCAGTCAGATATCTGGCTGAGACAGAAGCCACTTCACATCAACATGAAAACCATGCAGTTTCTTTTCCACTCTGTTATTTACACATTTTATTAATACACATTTTATTGTATTTTCCTGGGGAGTCTGTAACCTCACCTTTTGTTCTGAGAGTGGAAAAAAAAATCAGAGCTACATAATTTCCTGAAAAAGAGCCATTCCCATTCAGCTCTGTGTCTCACCTCCACCTTCCCACTGCGAGGCCCGGTAACACCTAGGCAGTATTTCTAGATTCCTCAGTGGCAACGATGCTCATACATGTAATGTGCTGAGGTAGTTTTCATGTATGTACCTAACACACACGGTCAGTGGTGCTATCTCGTTTGATATGAACCTTCTCAGCATGACAGGACTGTCCACACCATGATATTTAATGCGCTGCCTTTTACAGGGGAGGTGTTTAGGGACTTCGTTTTACACGTGAGTAAAGTTTACAAAAGAAATCCCTCACTGTGTGTTTTTTCACCAAAAGGCAGTTAGGGGGCAAACATTACTGCAGTAATATTGCTACTAATAATCATTGTTTCTCTTTCGAGCCTTGCCAGGGAGGGTGGTTGAGCTGTGCAGAGTGTGTCAGGCCATTTCCTAGGAACAAGCCCTCGAGAGTCAGAAGAGGCATGTCACCGCCTCTCGATTAGCTGCTATTTTAGACATTGCTGGTACAAAATTGCTTTGCTTGCTTTCCTCTTCAGAGCTCTCACTTCAGCCTGCCTCCAACCAAGCTGTATTTCTGATCTCCTGCAAACAGGTGGGTGGATGCACCTGCCCCCAGGTGCGCGCTGCGTGCCCCTGGTTTCTGCTTTTGGGCACTCACAGCTGGATCAGGAGGCACTTCACTTGCTTTAAGCAATCTCAGTACTTCGTGGGCATCTGCTTAAAAAAAAAACAACAACACACACACACAAAATATGAGCAAATTCAAGGGGTTTGAGGAGAGCTCTTCCCTTTCTGGGGTTCCTGTTGCAAAGCACGAGGAGCAGCAGGGCTGGAGGTCCCAGGCAGAGCAGCTTCTCCCACCCGCCCTCGCACGGACCCGCTGTCACAGCCTCTTCTCCCACGCTGACAAATGCCTCCCTCCCCTGCCAGCCTTCGCTGAGCTTCCAGAGATGCCCATGGGAATGCTTCCACTGCTCTGAGCCCACTTTCTTGCTCGAGGAGCACGGCGGCCTTTGCAGTGCTAGCAGCTCGGCTCAGCATGATTAATGCAGCCAGGCACCCTTGAGACTGGCATGTAAAGCATCACTCTGGGCTGTTATTGCCCTTAAATTGATTGCCGGATTTCTATAGGTTGTCAGCAGTCCTCAAGAGTCACACATCTTTCTTTCTTAGGGGAAGGATGGCTGCTAAGTGGGACATTATTAGCAAAAATAGCAATAATCAGCAAAAGAATAAGAAAATGGACGATGAACTTTAGGCACGAGCAATTCCCATGTGGGGTTAGCGGCAGGGGTATAAACAAATCCCCTGGTGCCTTTAGCACTGCTTCTGCAAGGCAAGATGGATGTGACAGCATGGGAGCATGGCTTTGGAGAGGCAGAGGCTGGAAAGCAGAGGATGGAAGCTTCCCTTCCCTTCCCTTCCCTTCCCTTCCCTTCCCTTCCCTTCCCTTCCCTTCCCTTCCCTTCCCTTCCCTTCCCTTCCCTTCCCTTCCCTTCCCTTCCTTCCCTTCCCTTCCCTTCCCTTCCCTTCCCTTCCCTTCCCTTCCCTTCCCTTCCCTTCCCTTCCTCCTTCCCTTCCCTTCCCTTCCCTTCCCTTCCAGCAAGGAAGATCCGTCCCCACACAGATTTTGTCTCTGCTTTCCACCTACCCACCCCTCTGAGCTGGTGTTAGAGGATTGCTCCGCTGGCTCATGCTGCTTCCCCATCAACAGGCTTGGGGTTGCTAGGGAAATAGTCATTACAGGCACTTTGGGGTAAAAATCCAGGGAAATGTCAGGTCAGCAAGAGCCTCTCCCCCCTTCCAAGCGTTTCTGCGTGCAAAGCCTTAACACGGCAGCTCCAGAGCAGGTCCCACGCACTGCTGCTCCCCTGCCACTGGTAACTGAGCTGGCTGGAGCCGTGCGGATTTTGCTTCTCACACCAAGAAACGCAGCCCTAAATTTGCACCCTTCCACCTGAGAAAGCAGGCGAGGCTGCGCACACGTTGCCTCTGAGTCCTTGCGATAGTCACACGCTGCCTCCTAATCCGTGGTCCCTTCATGGACAATTGGAAACCCATTCCCTTGGAAATCGCAAATTCTGCTCGGGAAGGAGCCGCTTTCATTCGCTGCCACGAGTTAAATATTGTGGAAACATGTCTGCTAACAATTTGCTTTGTGTAATTTGTACTAATGCTAATAAGCAACAGCTGCGACGCTTCCTGCTGTAAATTCTTTTGTGGCTGCAGTGGTATTATCACATATGGACTTCGCAAGTACGACGGGCTCTAGCGCAGCTCGCGCCTTCTGGCACCAGCTCCGGCGAATCCCCTCGCCTCGGGATTTACAGCTCGGGGGACGTGAATGCACGGCCTCGTCTCCCTTTGTTCCCCGAGCCCCAGCTCCCCGCCAGGTGCCTGAATCCGAAGGGACAGGGTGAGCATGGGGCGGTCCGAGGGGTTGTGTCCCCCCCACCAGCCAGGTTTAACAGGGTTTGGGCATAGAGGTGCTGGTCGGAGGCTAAGTGTGGAAGAAATAAAGATTTGCTTAAGGAAGAGAAAGAAGCGACGGTGTGTGATGCTCTGCCACAACAAGGCTCCAGCTGAAACACAAGAATCTTTCAACTTAAGCTCGAGAAAAAATGTTTCCCTCCCTCACAATGCTAAATAAAGCACGTTAGGCCAAATCCAGGTCCCACCGAGCTCCACGTAAGTTTGTCTCTTGGATTCGTAAGGGCTTGGCTCGCAAAGCAAGTCAAGCAATCCTTGTCCTGCTCCCGGGAGCTCTGCGAGCTTCCTGGTGGAGAGCTCTTCCAGCTGCACACCGCCCTGATCCCGACACTTTCTCCTGTTCGTTTTGGGTTGGAGCTGCAGGTTTGGCCGAGCCTGGTTTGGGTTTCCCGCTCAGCAGCAGAGCAAAGCGCTGAGGATCGCAGCCGTGCTGCTGGGCAGAAACTCGGCCCGGCCGGAGCATGACTTCACCGAGCGATTTCCACAAGTTCTCGAGGCGAAGGCCTCGGTGGGATTTAAAAATGAAACTTTTCGAAATCAACCCCGCTGACCTACGATTATTTGGCTCCTTCAGCATCTGCGGCACCTCATCATGCTTCAAACAGCTGAGTCTCCTGGTAGTGCCACAGCCCAGCGGGGATGGCTCGGCACTGCAGGAAGGTCTCCATCTCTGGCTGCACAGCCTTGCTCCTCCTGCCAAAAAGCAGCGTTTGAGGCTGGCCGGGGGGGTGTCTGTGTGTCTGTGCATGTGGCTGTGTGGCTGTGCACGTTGCCTGCCCGGCTGCATGGGCAGGCCGTGGAGAGAGTGAAGGAAAAGCAGAGTGGAGCAGCCAGGAAGGACTGGGCTTCGGAAATGGGCAAGTCCCAGGCTTCAGCGGTGTTCCCCTGTGGTTTGTGCCCTTTTCCTGGGCATGTATAGAAATAGGAAACCTTCTTCTGAGTAGAGAAGTATGTCTTTATTAGCCATGGTTCTCCCTCGGTGATATAAAGGACCGGGACCATGCTGTCCTCTTCTTTCTGAGCACGCAATGCAGGCAACCAATGTCCTGTTATCAGAGATCTCTAAAAGGATGGGGAATAGGAAAAAAAAAACGCACCCCAATAAATACAGAGATGAGGACATTTCCAAATGGAGCTGTTTCACGGCTTTCAGTGTCTTTCAGGTGAAACATGGGAGAAGGGGTGGGGAAAGGGCTTCTGAGCTGCAGTGAATCCAAGTCAGTGAAAGGCTAGTGATTAATTTTATTCCTCACTTTGATGGTTTCCTGATCTGTAATGTGTTTTATGGCCCTGAGCATTTGCTGTAGTGGCAGTATTGTGAATTGATCCATGTGTCCAGGTTCCACTGAAACCAAATGACTGTTTCTAAAACCTATCCATCTTCCTCATGGCACTGCTAATATGTTCTAGCATCCAGAAGGCTTCTGACCAGCTTGGCATGAGACGGTATTAAAAGAAAAAGATCTTTTTTTGATTTCCTTTGTGGCACAGAGGCTTCAGAAAGCAGCTCTAGTCATGGCTGTTTAGCAGGTTAATATTTACCAGCTTTTCCTTTTATGCCTCTTAGAAATCTTGTAGTAAAAGAAAGCCTCTTGTTTATACAGTCGGTGTGCCTACAGGAAGGCAATCTGAATTCCAGTCTTCCACTGACACTGTTGTAAATTCAGCAGACTTGTTCCACATCTTTACCACTGTCGATGAGGTCTGTGTCCGACACTAAAACAGCTCAACTATAGGCACGTTAGGCTGCTGTTATCAGAAGTTACTACGGGTATTTGTGTTACAAAGGCGTGCAGAGATCGTGCCTCGTGGCGTGCAGATGGATTAGGAGGGACTCAGCCTGCCACTGAGGGACAACCTAAGGGGAAGGGTCTCCTAGAGGCAGTTTTCCTTCCCTTTTGCAGATAAAGGTTAAAAGCAGATAGAAGTCAATGGCGCGAATTACCTCTCAGACACTTATGGTAAAAATAGCAGAAGACTGAGGAAAATGAGGAACCTTATTGTCTCCTTCCCAACACTGCTAATCACCTTTGGTGAAGCCAGAAGTCTGATCCCAGACCTTCTGGTCCAAGTCTAGTGCCTTAAACACAAGACCATCCATTCTCACCATCCTTTCTCCTTGTGCTGTCCAAATCTGACTTGCTCCTCACGTAGCCCTTGCCTACAGCTTCTTTATGTACCTACATGGTGGGCTTTTAAAGGTCAGATAATCCCTTATCCTGCCCTCATTCTTCCCCCTCTTAATCATCCTCTGCCTTCTAGTCCTTTCCCCTGAAACTTCTCAGCCCTTTCCCTTCCCATTCCACCACTGCAGTTACATTCAGGTTTTTTTCTCCTCAGTTCCTCTCTGGCAAGATCTCTTCTTCTTCCTTTCTTTCCATCTTTCAGGGACCATAAATGTGTCTCCTTCACCCCTTTTGCACCACCTTATGGCTCTTCTCTGCTCTTCCATTCTCACATTTATTTCCCCTCTCTTTCTCCGTAGTTTTCTGCAACCCTTGCTTTCCTTTCAACCAAGTGCCCTTTACTAGTACCAGTTTTTTAATCTTTGAATTAGGTTGTCTGTATTTTTTTTTAACCCCTTCTTTATCTTGCACAAAAAGCTTTCCACTGCTTTCCTTCACCAGCACGAAAGGCACTTTTCGGGGATGGTTTTTAACCAGTCGGCTGATTCCTATTTGCAATAAATACCTCATTAAGGGCTCAGCACTTTTACACAGGGTGGGTGCAGTTCTCCCCTCTTCCTTCCATCTTTCCCTCGATGTCCAAGCAGCTTAAATGCTCACAGGTTGGAAGGGACCCGGCTGCACTGCTCAGTGGGATGAATCTTCAGCTCCTGCCCCGTTGCTGATGCATGTGGAAGCCAAGCCTGGCCCCGTGCATGGCACACCATTAGGCAGGTGCAGGCAACCAGCGTGCCAAGCTCAGAGCCACCAGCATCATTCCCGTGGTCTGGAGAGGGGCCAGCGTGCCATCCGCCTGGATGGGAGAGTTGGTTGGAAAGAAGAGGTGCCCACTGCCAACCATAAGGACAGCAGGAGGTGGGAAAGAGCCACCCGGCTGGAAGAAGAAGGGGAGCGGTGTTGGCCAGCTGGGAGGCGGAGGTGGGACAGATGAAATCAGCAGTGAGGGAAGGCCGTGCTCATAAGCCGACATCAAGCGGGCGCTGCAATGTGTGCAGCAGCATCCTTCATCCCGAAATACGTGCAGTAAGGCAGGGCCGATTCACACGTGGATGCACAAGTGCGAGTCTAGAGTAATGACTGTAGCTTCTGTGGGGCTACTGCATACTTCTACCAGTGGGAATGAGATCAGGTTTTGGCTCTAGGGCTCTGTTTCCAAACAGTGTGAAGGATGAGAGCATAACAGCTCTCTTCCAGCTGGAAAGGGGCAGCCTTAAGTCAGGCCACAGAGCAGCGCAAGTCCCGCTCACACTTCTTTTTTAATGGTGCTCCGAGCTCCCTTCCAGTTCCTCAGCTTTAGCTTCCAAGGCTAGTGAAGCATGCACGTTTTTTTTTTAATGTATGCACAGCTATCAGTTTTTCTATTGCTAATTGGGCTCAAAGTGTGTTAGCTTTGATTTTTAATATGATCTGTAATTTGCTAGATAAGCCTCAGTTTCTGCAGCAGCTGGATAAGCAGGGCTGCTTTCATGGCATCTTGCAGGTATTTTTACAATCTTGGACTTTTTTACCTACCTGCTCTACACTAATCTTGTCCTCCTCGAATGGCGAATGACATCTCTTTCATGGGACTGTACAACCTTCAGAAAAGGGCATCGCACATCAAGCAAATACATAAAGCTGTTTGATTTTCTTCATGCCAGGGAGAAAAAAAAAAACTGAATATACAAACAATTTATTTATAATCAAACACACACTGCCTTGCATTCAGCCACCCCCAAACTTATTACAGTCCATACCGCTTAATACTGACACAGGCAACGTCTCCACACCTCACATCATTCGAAAAATGCGTTTGTGACTGCTCTCATCCAAACCCCGCAGGAGCTAGCAGGAGCCCGTCCAGCATGCGGCACAGGCTTCTCCTCCGTGACTGCTCTCCAAGCAGAGAAATCAGCTGGCATGCACTCGCTCACCAGGCTTCCTTCCTCTGCCAGTGTGTATATGAGAAGAGAATGTAAATAGCGAGATTTCCTCTTTAATAAAAATGTGCTGTAGTGATAAGATTACGGGCTTGAATGCTGTTGACTGCGGTCTTAGTCCCGTGGCTCAGTGTAAGGTCTGTATAAGGCAGATTTATTTTGGAAGTCTGTGGCTGGGATTCTTCTGTGTGTTTTCATCATGCTGCCTGGTTTTACTCCACACCAGTGCCACCAGGCTCCAGCTCTTCCCGATGGCAAAAGGCAGCTGGGTTTATCCCACCAGCAGCATCACTGTGCTAACGGCAGCCCTGTGGGCTGTATGACATGAGTGATGCTGTCTGGGACTCCAGTGGAAAGAAAAGTCTGTGTCCACAGCCCACTGATGGTGCCTCCTGCCCCATCTGCAAAGCACAGTACCGTCCGCCTTCTCAGAGCGTTTTGCTCCTGTCCTGCTGTGTAAACCTGCACAGGTTGCTGCTTCTCTCACGCGAATATAAAGCCAGCCGATTCCCACCAGAGTCTGTCAGGATTTCTCTATTTTACACACTTTTGCCTTAGTACTGATTTGGTTTGCTTTCTTTCAATGAGAGAGAAACAAAAAAAAGCGTCTTATCGGATGAATGCTTTGGGGTCCCAGTCCAGCTGTGCAGTTCAGTGATGTTTAATGCCAAGCACACACCTGCACATCACTGACCTCAGTGTGTCTTGAGCTTTGCTCCAAGTTGGCCACTTGACGTGCTTTTCTGAGCCTAAGTAATTTCTGATTCTGTGAAGCCTTTGTAATTCTTTCACTTAATGCTCGTTCTGCTACCCATTCATTTTACTTAGCACAATATTCTAGCATTCATTTATTTTGCCATTATTGTCAGGAGGAGCTAAATAATTGGGGATTACAGAAACAGCTTATATGCCTATGACTTTTCCTAATGTGAGTCTTCTCCATTTTCAGTCAAGAACAGTTACTAAAGATGATACACAAGATATATTGTTGATTGTGCCAGGATTACCATATGATGCTAACAATAATCAGGGAAAAGACATCTGCCCCTTAGTTCTACTTACTTAAAAAGCAAAGCAAGCCCTTTAATACTTTGCTATTTATCAGCTATTAAAACCTCCCCTAATAAATAATCTCCAACAGTGAACATTATATTAGACTGAATAGCTCTGTGTTCACTTTGCAAATATGCAAACAATGGAGAGCTGAGGTGAAATGAATGTGGAGCTTATGGATAAGAAAAACACAAGAATAAAATGTGTGGAGCCCTAGAGCAGCACGTTTTTGACAAGCAGCATATTAGTATTACTCTCAGCCCACTTTAAAGGGTTTTATTGAAGTGATTTGTCTTCAGCTGTGGAGGTGTGTGCCTTTCTATGTGTATGTACATGCAGGTCTGATGTACGTGCACAGATATGCACCTGCCCACCGTGTGTACATGTCACACACATTCACACGTCCAAACAAAATGATAACTGTCGAGTTAGCATGTTCTGTATCGGTGGGTCCAATTTATCCATCCTTCACATACTCAGTGTCTAAGTACATACACAACCATTTTGCAAGCATAGTGTCAAACTGTGATTCTTCTATTATTTCTACAGGCATTTTTTTTTAATTATTTGTAACTTACTCCTTCCAGTGGATTCTCCATCACTATATAGAGGCATGTTTTAATGTATAGCTGTAAATTGACTGTTCTGTGTGCTGTATGCTACTGTTTGCATCGTAATTAAACTGAGTATTACTGGACTTAACATACTTAATTTTGTACAACAGACTTTTGCTTGGGTTTCACAATTTGATGCAGTATGTTTAAGAATGTAGACTAGAGGGGGACGGGCTATGATAAAGCAAGGATGTCCCATACTTTCAGATTTATGTTTCATAGAAAAAGCCAGTACTTTCTTTTAGTATTGCAAAATTATTTCTGTATTTTTAATAAAGATTTGGATTTACTTGGTTCTATGTATGTTTTATCTAATAAACTGTATTTTTTAAATAAGTGCCTGGTCTCAGTCTTTACACATGTGTCATGCTTATGGACACACAAAGCATTTTTACCTACCAAATTCCCTGTGGCTGAGTCTGCAGCTCTGCTAATGCCAGAATTACCTTCTACCCTGGCCAGTGCAGAGCTAATCTCACATCTTTTATTCACATTTCTCTGCTATGCAAATAAGAGATGGCTACCGAGGTGTCAGCTTGTTGATAAATCTCCACTGTGATACATTAGCATCAGTGCTCATTTGCAGGGCAAGCAGTTCCTTTGGTTCTCCGCTGAATTAAGGGTAGGGTGTCAATTTGAAGCAAGGGTGCAGCACGCAGGCAGATGCCTAGTCCCGCAGGCTGCATCTACATGGGCAGACCCTGCTCTCATTTATGCTGATATAAAACTGAAGTGGCTCAGCTGAAGTCATTACTGTTATTCTGGATTTGCACTGGGGAGAAAACAAGAACAAAATTTGTCCCAAGACCGTAATATTTCAAGGTTGATCTGCCCACTTTACACACTGGCAGCTAGTGGAATACTCTAGCAATGTCTCAATAAAAAGCCTGAAAAAGAGCCAAAAAAATCTCAGCTCAACTACTATTAAAAAACTTCCCCTAGAAAATAAGAAATGCTTTCCCTGTTATGTAGAGTCAGCTCTAGCTATCCAAGAAATACATTGCAGTGAATGATTCCCCTCTTTTTTGCCCTTTAATTACACTTTCCTCTATGATGCTATCAACACTACAGCATGATGAAGTTTCCCTTGAAGTCAATTTGCCATCCATGTCAGTGAAAGCGAGAATAGGCCACTGGATAATAATCTTTGGGCCCTATCTTCTTATTGCTCTCCATAATCGGGTAGAAATCAGCTGCAAAAAGTAGCGTTATTGAAAGGGTAGCTGCACGTATCCAAGAAATTATAGCAAAGAAAAGTGGGTTCAGGTCACCCCTTGATTTCTGGCCCCTCTTTATGAACTATGAATATAAGGTAGACTCCAAAAAATGTTTTGAAGTGGTCTTTCCTTTCACCGTTCCTTTCTGTGCTGAGACCAAAGATGAAGCCTTGTGAGGTAGGTGCTGCTGCTCATCCCCAGCTGGGGCTTCTCGCTTGTGCCTCCATTCAGGGCACAAGAGAAAGAGCAGGAAAGAACATGTCCCAGTGATGAGCAGCAAAAGGCCTCAAAGATACCAGCACAAAGCCCTGGGCCAGCTCCTGCCCATGGCCACAGTGTCCCCACCCCTGCCATGGTGCCACATGGATGGACAGCAGATTGCTGCGCTAGGCCCCATCAGGCCTGGCCTCGGTCACACACCTCCCTCGTGGCCCTAAACAACACTCGGGCTCTTCTGGCTACGAGAAATTTGCCTTTTTTTCACCAGACTGCTCTTTTATCTCCAGACTTTAAAGCCAGAAGGAAGGTTTCCTTCAGACTGGATATAAGCAGGAGCTGTCTGAAGTCACTCAGAGCCTGGCTTCTAAGGTGAAGCGATTCGACTTCAGAGTTGGTTTATGTGCCTGCAAAGTGCTCAGTCCTCTTGGTTCGCAGCTCAGGCACCCTCTGTAATAAATATTGGAGGGAAAAAGCTTCTTCCTTTGATTGTAAGAAGCCTATGGAGTAGACTGGACTTTGGGAAGATCACTGAGTAAGATGGGCCGTGCAGCAGTTTCCTTTGCTCTTCTCTCTGAAGCTCCCAGCCGGGGCTCACATCCCAGCTCCATTAAAAATCACACAGAGAAATAAGACATCAGCATTCCTGCCCTGCCCAGCTCACAGGATAGGAGTTACACTTCAGGCAATGGATGAAAAAATACATATCTACACGTATATATTAAAACATACTCATACGTGCATATACACACATATATAAACACCATGTGCCTGAGCTTGTAGTCCAAAGGAAACAAAAGATCTGTAAGCACTTTATAATTGCTATGTATGTATAACAGGCTCTTTTCTCTCCCTAATCACTCGGTGTGATGCCAGCATTAGCCTCACTGTCCTTCCCCATATGAGAGGATGCTCCGCACAGGATCAGTCAGTCATTTGCTCATGTAGCTGCCCACCTCTCACACCTCTGTCAGGAACCTACTCTCCAAAAGCCCAGATATGGGAGGTGATCAGGTTTTATGTAGCCCCCACGGGACAAAATTGAGCTGCTCTGTACCAAGGGCATCTCAGCCTGTTCGGGTCTCTGCAAGAAAAGCCTGCCCACCTCTCCTGTCATCATGTACACTGAACGTGTCCAGGAAGGCTCTTCATTTGCCTGTGTTTTGAGGAAAACTTCTGGTCAGAAATATGTCCAGGCAAGGTGAGTGATTAAGCTGGAAAAAGCTGTTGAGAGTCAGGAGTGGCTTCCCATGCCCTTGACTCACTCTGCACATCCATGAGAAGAATCAGAGAGATTTAGGAGGGATTTACTTTGGAGGCAGCGATACACACTTTTCCAACCCCATAAATGATTCCAAGATCCGTCTGTATGAGAGCTGTTGAGGGAAGAAAAAAGCATCCCCCCATTCATGCCCTGGCAATGAGACTGGTCCTAATGAACACATCTATCTGACAATGCCATCTTGATGGCACACATGCCACCGACGGCTGAGCAGGACTTTCCTTACCAGCTGTTTATGCACCACGGTGACATCTGGCACAGAAGCTCAGAGGAAGAACAGACGTATCCCTTGTGCACTCGCTCAATGCCCTGTTAGTGCCGAAAGAGCGTGAAGGAGAAAGAGGCATCCTCAGCAGGGATGGAGAGCTGGGTCTGAGGGATGGGGTGGGTGGGAGGCAGGGACAAAACCCCGGAGATAAATCAGAAGCTGGGAGATGCTGCAGGGCACGAAGCCCTGCCAGGCTGCAGACAAACACGCGCCCCCCCTTGCCGCCGTGCCGGCGACAGCCTCCCCAAGCGGGGCTGGGGGCCAGGAGTGCAGATAACCCCCGGCACCTTGGTGCCACTCCAGCACACCCTGCTCCTCAGCAGACCCTCTCCTGGCTTTCCATGGGCCCCATACCTTTCTTTCCCATTTCTCAACCTCTCTCCTGCGTTCATTTTTATCCTTGTCTCCTCCAACAGATTGGAGCTCTTTGTTCGAAAATAAACCATCTTTTGAAATACCGTTACTTCTCTCCTTGAACTTTTCCCTGTGAATGACTTGACATTAAGCTGATAGTTGCTCTTAACTAATTGTTAACCTATTAGTTGAGACCATAAAAATTATTGAAAGGCCAAGGCTAAAGCTGTTTAAATGAGAAATATTTCTACAGAACTCCCCCGAGATGAAATAAAAAAGCTCCTGCCGACAGAGCGGCTGCCAGTTTCAGACTAACGGGCTTGAAGATGATGTTTTGCTAACAGCAGTTAATCAGTAAATTCCCATTACTAATAAGGCCATCACTCTTGGCTGAAGCCACAAATTACATGTTATGTTTCTCAGTGCTGAAGATAAAGAGTTCTTTAAATTTTGCATCTGCAAATGTAATGTTTAGCACAAAACGCTATCAGGAAAAACAAGAGGAAAATTGAAAAAGTGTCATATACATTCAGCATCAATTTACTTCTCTGTCACTGAAATTACATATCTTTTTTATTCCAGTATTTATTGCCATCTTGCAATTTATATTTCGGAGGGGAATGGAAACCTAGAGGGCTGAGCTTGATCTCAGGCACACTGCTGCTGCATGACAGCCATCAGATAAAAAAGTGAGAGCAGAACATAGACCAGCCGCTTAGGACAAAATTAAAAAGGAAACAACCCCAAAGTTTCATTATAATGTTGCATCTTGATTGTCTGCCAGATCTTTCACTCGCTTACACTGCTGCAAGCCTGGCTTCCTTCCACTGATGCAATAGACATTCCAGATTTCAACTCTCTGACTAGAGAGCTGAATTTTTGCTGTAAGTGTCCAAAGAAGAGTAAAAGAATGTGCTTTATTATGGTTAGAAAGCTGCAGGGACTCCTTGATTACCAGTCCCTTTGGAATTGCTTTCCTCATCCCAGACACAGCTGAATTCAGAGTCCAGCCAGTTGCTCAGAAATGGAAGGTGAAAAGTGCCAATAGCAAACTAGACAGTTGTTTTTTTCCCAGTATGAAGTGTTCTTTATCTGCATTCCTAGAGACAGCTATACAAAAGTCAGCTGCTGCAGGCAGAGCTCCTCCCTCCAGTGCCAAACGGTCTTTGTGGGGACCCAGCAGCCTCATCTCACCTCTCCTGACCACCTCATATGAAAGCCTGCTGCCTTTGTGCCCTGCTACCCTGCTAGTACCTTCATCAGCATCCCCAGACTTATTTGGCTGTCGGAGAGAGCAGAATTTTGCCCTGCTCTCTTAGACCTGCATAGAAATGAGTGCACACATACAGGCAGACACACACTAGCAGCAGCAACCACGGATGAACACTTGATGTTGGTGCATGTTGGCCTGGCTGTGGAGCAAATTGTTCAGCCTCCACGCTGAGCATGGGTGGGCGCAATCATGCAGCCCCTGGCATTGATACTGATGGTTGGTTCCCTTCTTGGTGCCACCAAGGTCGTGCTCAGGACCCGACAGCCCGTTTGTCTCCAAGGCTGGGGGGCAGACCCTTTCTGGAGCACAGACAGAGCCACGGTCCCCCGGGGAAGGAGAGATGGTGTAATGGCGTGCAGGCAGCAGACAGGAAACACCGTGCTTCGGTCCAAGGGAAGCTTATTCCCTCACTGGGAAAAAGCTGAAAGACAGCAGTTATTTTGATGGAGAAGCTTATGTAGCCCAGGAGAATACCGAACACGTTGCATGTGCCGCCATGCCCTTGCCAGCAAGCGGCGTCCGTCAGAAGTTGAGAAGGGCTCAGCAGCAGGGGGCCAGAGCCTGCTACCACAGCGCCTTCTGAATTCCCGGTGCTGAGTTTTCTTGGCACTGAAGAGCTTGCCTGCGAGTTTCTCAGTCAAGATGATGCCGGCTGGTGATGTCTGGTGTTTTCTTCTCCACTTTCTTTTCTGTTAACACATCTTCTGCTTTCTCTAGTACGTCTTAGAGCTATGTACAGTTTCCTTTTGGGTGGAACTGTGTGTTTTTTGGCCGTGCTCTCCTTTCTACATTTTCTGCACATATTTTCCCTCTTTTGCTAGCACCTCTGTATCCTTCCTTCACTTAGCCATTAACATTGTTGAAATCACGACTTTCCTCTCCCTCGCTCCCCCTAGCTAGATAAACAGCTTGGTTCTTCTCTTACACCTCTGTATTTTCCACAAGAAAATCCCTTCAAAGTGGATCTTTCTTTCACAATCTGTGTCTAGGAAACAGGATCTCAGCTGAGAGACTTCTCCCTCAAACCGGGACATGCTGACAGGCATGAAGTTCAAGTTCCAGGTCTAGAAAGCTGAGAACTCCTTTTCTGCTGCGGCTGTACAGCATGAAAGGGTGCGTGTAGCCTCAGGGCAGGCCAGTGACCTCCACTGCACCTGGTCCCTGAGAAGTGATGCTACCTGCTTATCTAGAGAGGCAGGAGATGAACAGATGCTGAGATCCTTCCAGTTTTACCTACGGAGTCCTCATGCTGACACAACCCCCTCTCTGCGAGGGATCCAGCCTTGCCCTTGTCATGACTGATGTCTCCATTGCCATGAACAGCTACTACTGCATTAGGGACACAGGTCCCAAACTGTGATCCTCAGAACTTTCTCCACAAAATAAGTATCCTTCTGCCCTCTCTTGTCTGCAGGGCCTGGTCTGGCAGGGATTTTTTAAACTTTCTCTTGACAGATGTAGATTTGAATCACTGGGGCTAAGATTTATTCTGGTTTATTCCACACTTCAGCAAGTGAACTAGCCACCAACCTGCCAAATAAAAGACCCGCCACCATGGCACCAGGTTGTCTTTTGAAAGGACCGAGCTCCTCTGAGGTTTTGAACAAGCAGGCTTTAGCTCTTAGTTCGGGAGGCTTCGAGCTGTGAATCTTAATTCAAATAGAGCACCTCCTTCAGCTTATAGAGCTCATCCGCCCTGGAGGGGCATAACATTTAAGATGAGCCCATAACATTTCCTATCAGCAAGCTCCAGGTGATCTCTTCCTTCATAGACCCACAAATTAAGGGGCTCTGGGGCCTTGTGCAGTGACCAGGAACATAAAGTCGGATCTTAAAATTTTCAGTGCTGTTATGAAACGGGTCGTTTACAAATCTCCTCCTAAGTAGTTAACATAGTCAGCTAAGCCTGATGTGAGCCGGGAGAAAGTCCTCATCTGAAAACAACAAAACCGCAGTGGGCTGGGGGTGTGGGGGAGGCAGGAAGGGGATAGTTTTGCTGTAGTCTTTTTCTTTTCTAAATTTCCATATCCCAATTTTCCGTTTCCACATGTGAAACCGTCTATCTCCTGTGTTTTAATTATCCAATTTGAAGCATTTTGACTCGGTCTTGATTTTATTGACTTAGGTGTTTTTGTTGGCTCCACCACCAATCATCAGCAGGGACTGAGAATGGATCCTTCACAGCCAAAACCATATCCCGTTACTGCCCGAGTGCAAGAAGCATCACCAATAGCTACGAGCAGCAGGGGTCTTCTATCTCCTCCAAAGAAAAACGATCCGAAACAGGACGCAAACCTCCAAGCCAATGTGTTATATAAGAAAAAAAAAAAATCCATTAGAGTGAATGGATTACTCCGGGTTTCCTTTAGCGGTTACTGGAAATGTTAATGAGATCACTGGCTGTTTCTTTTGCAGAGAACTGTGAAGTGTGGGATTTCAAATCTGAGCTGGTTTATGGTAAGCCAACTGTATCGCTCCACATAACTGCATGGATGTAGAACTGAGACCCTTGTTTAGCTCAGAGCAACTTCAGATGAACAATCCGGGGAAGAGATTCCCCAGTTTAAGAAGTAAACTGAATTAAAGAGCGTGATGAATTGCTACAGATTATTTAGCGTCAGACTTCTCTGCTTTACACACTTATCAGAATAATCAAAGCACCTACACTTGGTGCTAATAAAAACTCTATTAACGTTAATTGATTTTTAGATTGTAAATTTATTACCTAGAGTTTCATGCTACATGGCCATGCAACATAATAAATAATATCCTACTGTCTGTAAACCATGTACGGTTCTGGATAGATGCTGGCACAAGGAGAATACTGCAATTTCCAACCCCATCCCCACAGGGCCCATCACAACAGAGGTCCCTGAAACCTCATGGGATCGATGCTCAGGTGACAAAAATGGTCACTAGACTGACCACAAAGTTGCTGATCACAGGAACCACCGAGCCTGCTATGTGTCTGTGAGGAGTTTCAGGTCACAGAGCCAGCGCCAAGCCTGAAGCCATGGAGAAGGAGCTGAGGGAGCAGGCAGAGGGAGCCACAGGCAGGCAGCACTGGCAGAATATGCCTGGAGCTGAAGGAAAGGACACAGCAAAAAAGACCAAGTGCAAGTCAGATGGACCTGTTCAAATAAAGAATAAAAAATAAAATAAAATACTGCATATTCATCCAAATTGCAAATTGTCACTCATTTCTGAGGTTGCAATAGCTCTGTTTGCTTTTATTAAATTTTGCTTTCTTAAATTATCACCTCTGCCTGTATGCTGCCATTTCAAAAAGAGCTGAATCCTTTTTTTTTTTTTTTCTCCCTCTTTTTTTTTTTTTTTGCTCCAACCTTCCAAAAACAACCCTTCACCTTTGGGTAGAGAGGCGGCCTGGAAAATTTCAGCCTGCTAGGTGAAACTTTTGGATAGCCAGGAGCGAGTGAAAACAGGGAGATATAACATAATGGAAACACTTTGGCAGCCTCAGCTGTGGCTGTCACTAACACTCCAGCCCTAATGAAAACTTTCCTGAAGCAAGGCTGGGGTGGACACATTAACCCAAAGAGGGCCTTTCCCGTCCTCCCCACTATTTATCGGAGGACTGAGCCCGCCAGGACCCCACATGGGGCACACTGGTGACCCTCCTACACCTGTGTCAGCCTCCAGCTCCATCACTGGTGGCTCCAGGCTGGTGGGAGGCAGCGTCCACCTCCTTGCAGCCACCCAGCTGCTTCATGGACACAGTGCTAATCTGCCTGGGTTGAGTTTTCTCCTACATGCACCACACTGGATGGGGCCTACACGTGTAAATCACAAGGTTATTTCTCCCCAGAGTTTAACTTAGGCGGGGAAGCGGCCCGGCTGTGAAGATTTGCCCAAGACAAGAGCTCTCCGCCTTCCTGGTTTGCAGAGGACCTGGCCTGGTGTTCCCTGAGCACCAGCAGCGCCGCTCTGGACAGCTTCCCTGGACCTGCTGCCCCGTCACCCGCCAAGTTTCCATGGAAAGGACACTCAGCCTCGCCTGGCAGGAGACACAGAAGCCGTGTGCTAAGCTGTTGGACTCCCGGCAGGGCCAGAGGCCCAGACAAATAACCCCGTCCTGCTCCGTCACCCTGTCGGGTTGTCCTCCCTCGCAGGGCAGCACCAGCAGGGTCAAGAGCATGACCCCAAACGCAGGTCCCCAGCCAAGCAGGGAAGGCCCCAGGAAGGCCTGTCATGGCTCTGCCACAGACACAGCCACCACGGCCGAGACTGAGCCTCTTGGTGCACCCTTGGCCCCAAAAAGCTCTGTGTTTGCTTGACATGACCAATGTCCCTTTCTGTTAAGGGTTCATCTACAGGTTTGGCTGGTTTGCAACATGAAGAGCCAAAATCTGCTTTGATTTTAAAATCTTCTTTCTTATAATGTATCTAATTATCTCATAATGTGCATATTTCATGAGAGACCTCAGGGCTGTGGTTCTGAAGAGAATTATCAGGCATCCCTGCTTGTAAGGTGCCGGAGAGGTGAAAGACTGTTGCCAGCACTCAAGTGATGGGTTTAGGCAGCTGCCCCGTGAACATGCTGACCATCCTTCCCTCTTGTGGGATCTCTCCTCTACCTACACATTGCACAGGGCCCCATTACCAGTCTTCAGAGACCACTGCAGGAAACCCACTGTTTTCTGAAAGTATTTGGCCACACTCAGGGCCTGTACAACCACACAACATGGAGCAGCAAAGGTGATTTTGCTCTGCCTGCATCCAGAGCCAGCCAAAAGCCAGGCAGCCACAGGGCAGGGCGTATGATTTCAAGGCCAGTGCTGGACTACATGGCCTCATGGGTTTGGATTAGTTTAGTGACAGGATGATGCTCACATACCACTGCCCATAGGGTGTCCCACACCGCACTGCCCTCCTGTAGAGCTCAGTCATGAGCTTGGACTTCCTAGCACTAAGAGTAATAAGCCTTAAGATGCCTGAGGGGTAAAAGAAAGCTGAGCTGAATGAGGGCTGAGCAGCTGTGACCCCATAGTTTTGGTCTCAGCACCTTCAGAACATCAAATTTTGTTCCAGCTTTGTGGGCCAAAAGGGCTGCAGGGCAGGCAAAGAAAAATCTGCACAAACACCACAGCCTTGGGGCAACCACCGAGGGCAAAGAAAAAGCAGGTCTGCTAGCTATCAAAATGCCCTCTTGTCACTGGCCTGGAAGCAATGCACGCAGTCCCAAACCCTGTCAATGAGAGGCAGAGCAGGAAGAAAAACTGTCCTTTTGCCCTTGGGCAACAGTGAGGCCTGAGCTTGCTTGGCATCTCATATTTTCCTGTCTGCATGTACAGTATGTACAGCTGTATAACGCTTGCATCTCCATAAACGGGTGAGTACAGATCTATATCTACATACATAGATTTTTTTTTGG